AACTGTGACCAAATGTGCTTATAAGTGTGCTATTTAGGTCTTTAGGTCTGAGGCTGAAATTTTGAAATTCTAGATGGCGGCTAAGACAGCGACCATTTTATCTAGAAAATGTATCATTTTTAACGGTTTTTACTTTATAGAGCTGATTTTAGCGTTATTGATAACATTTTTCAGATTACTTACAGAAAAAAATGTATTCAGTTGAAGTGTTGCCGGACGATAAAAAAGTTTTTTTTTTATACTGTGATTTTTAGGAAATTTTCTATTGAATAAGAATAAAAGACTACAAGGCGATCTATACAACATTTATTTTAAGTTTTGTTACGTTTTTCAATTGAATATTTCTTTTTATATTGCGTGTAAACTGGCAATCTTTTTTTTATGTATGATGTTTTGCGTAATTAAAGATCTTTTATTTGATGATAGAACTTACTAACTTTTTCTAGGCAATTTTTTACTGTAAACCCAACATAACAAGAGGCGGTCTTAAAACTCCAAAATCTGTATTAACTAAATATTAACTTACTTTTGAATAAGAATAAGAGAATAAATGACTAGAAGCCGATCTATACCAAATTTCATTTTAGTTTTGCTTGCGTTTTTCAACTGAATGTTTCCTTTTCTATTTAGTGTAAACCGGCAACCCTTTTTCTTTGACGTATGGTGCTTTGTGTACTTAAACATAATTCATTTGAAGATAGACCTTACTAACTTTTTCTAGGCAATTTTATACTATAAACCCAACATAACAAGAGGCGGTCTTAAAACTCCAAAATCTGTATTAACTAAATATTAACTTACTTTTGAATAAGAATAAAAGAATAAATGACTACAAGCCGATCTATTCCAAATTTTATTTTAGTTTTGCTTGCGTTTTTCAACTGAATGTTTCTTTTTCTATTTAGTGTAAGCCGGCAAGCCTTTTTCTTTGACGTATGGTGCTTTGTGTACTTAAACACAATTCATTTGAAGATAGAACTCACTAACTTTTTCTAGGCAATTTCAAACTGTAAACATAACAAGAGGGCGACTTAAAATCCCACCGCTCTGATTCCACAAGTGACTCGTTTATGCTCAAGAACTTTGTAATAAGTAAAGCAACAAAAAGTTGTATAGGTTTATTATAACATATGGGTTAGGTTAGGTTAGTGTATGAAAAACAACGCACGAGCCGAGCGAGCGTAGCGAGCGTGCCGCGGCAGCGGCCGGCGAAGTGCCAGAAACGAATCGCTTTTGTTGATGGTAACATCTCGTTTATAATGTTTAAAAGATGATCGTGTAAGGCTGACTATGAGCAATCCAGCCCGCGCAGTTACCATTTTAATTTCAATTTTGATTTCGATGGACTTGATAATTCGGGATCCTTATAGCGTGTATAGATGGACCATTTGTGTAGGTATCTTACCTACACTTTCAAATGGGTAAGTATGGAGAAAAGAAAATCCAATTTTTGACACGGTATTTAATTCTTAAAATATATTTTTCCATACTTTTAGATTATTGAGAAAACATGTTCTCTTGATATTCAAAATGAAAGTGTTCTACGCAGGTATGAGTTTGAAATTTGACATTTATTTATTTGGTGTATTATTTAAGGTAACACTAGGGGAAATATCTACTCGATCCTTTTTCATACTAAATGTAAACTTACTATTGAATAAGAACAAGAGACTATAATTTATTTAGAGTTTTGCTTGCGTTTTTCGACTGAATATATCTTTTTCTGTTAAGCGTAAACTGGCAACCCTTCTTCTTTGATGTATGATGCTTAAACACCTTTCATTTGAAAACAGAACTTACTAACTTTTTGTAGGCGATTTCAAACTATAAAACAAACATAACAAAAAAAATCGAGAAATTCAAATTCTGCAACAAAAGCGGACTTAAAACCCCACCGCCCCGATTCCACTAGCTACTCGTGACTTGCCCGGGCTGCGAGCAGCCCGGGGCAACCAAGCGAAAGCTTCTATTCAGAAACGAAGGCGGACTTAAAGCCCCATCGCGTCGTGAATTAATCTATTCTAATATCTGGCCACGACATCGGTTCCCTTTTCATATAATAAATAAATCTTACATAAATAATGTAATGTAATAATGCAATTGACATTTAATTGATTAATTAATGATAGTAACACTGATGGAAATATATGTTCGATTGTTTTTTAATATTATACAGTAATTTACTAATAAATAAGAATAAGAGAATAAAAGACAAAACTTATTTTAAGTATCTATACAAAATTTATTTTAGGTTTTGCTTGCGTTTTTCGACTGAATATTTCTTTTTCTATTAAGTGTCAACTGGCAACACTTTTTCTTTGATGTATGGTGCTTTGTGTCCTTTAACACCTTTTATTTGAAGATAGAACTTACTGACCTTTTCTACGCAATTTCAAACTGTAAACCCGACATAATAATAGGCGGACTTGAAACCCCACCGCCCCGATTCCACCAGCTACTCGTGACCTCCCCGGGCTGCTCGCAGCCCGGGGCAACCAAGCGAAAGCTAGTTATATACTATAAACTTCAATACGAGTATAAAATCCAATATTAAGAGACGTAACAATATAAGGAATTCGGTTTTTCAATATCACAATACTGACTGAGTGTTAAATCCTTAGAAAAAATAATAAAAAATAAAGACTAGTCACGAGACATAATAAAATTAGTGATTTTGTTTTTTAACATTAAGATACTCAGCGTATAACTCTTTGGCCCAATCACTGCTACCATCAGAATCTATGTCGTCGTTAGATGATTCATCGTCTATTTTATAGCATCTCATACAAACAAAATCGCACTCATCTTTGGAGGCATAATTGTCCTAATGAGATTTTGGTACACATTTGGTATGATATGGCCCCTCGCACATAGAACAGGTGAGCACTTTTTTCTTATCTTCGAATTTCCTACATCCCACACACATGTACTCTTCTTGAAGTATGATAATATTTTTACCGGTCGCTAAACTTCTTGAGCTAGGTCCAGCTCTAGCCTTTCTTTTTTTTTTTTTTAAATTGCTCGGCCTTACAGTCTATGGCCGAGCTTCCTAGTTGTCCCCACTTTGTAGCAGGCCCTTAGTATTCGCTATATTTCTCATTCATTCCAGTTCTCTCGTTTGTACTAACATTCATTCCGCATACTTTATCTTTCTACTATTCTTCCACATTCATTCTTTCGGCTGGGAGTGCCGGTCCTGTTCTAGTCTACTCTACTTTTCTGTTTTTCCTTATTTATTGGGTTTATTTATTAAAAATACAGAGGTTTTTTATTCTCATAATAACATCTTAACCTATTATACACGGTATCTTATCTATTTTCATTTCCTTGATTTCTATATTCTAATACAATGTTTTTTAATCTAGTTATAGTATTTACATTTCTATTTTTAGTTTTTATTCCATCTTTACATATTCTATCTTTACATACTTTATATAATATTTCTAGTTATGTTTTCTCTTATTGTATACATTGTTTTCATCCTTGTATATACTTGCAAGTATATATTCTTATTACTAATTACAGTTATTTCTTCTTGTTTACTTATTCTACTTATTCTATTACAATGTTCTATTTCCTAATTTTCATCCCCTTTTGTTGTTATTACTACTTCCGTTCGTTTGTCAATTTTTGATTCTATTTTGTCCTGTCCTAATTTTACATTCCTATTTTATTATATCTTATTTTGTTATTCCATGTATTTAAGGTTACTTTTATATATTATTAAATATATATTGTATTCCTATTTCTTTTTCATATTTTATTTTGTTATTCCATCTTTTATTTCGTCATGTCCGGTTCCATGGTTGGTATTTTGTCCTATCCTATTTATACATTCTTATTTTAATATATCTTATTTTGTTATTCTATGTTTTTAGGTTGCTTTTATATATAATTAAATATATATTGCATTCCTACTTCTTTTCCATGTTTTTATTTGTTATTACATCTTTTATTTTGTCATGTCCGGTTTTTTTATATATACATTTATATATTCTTTGAAACATTGTGTTACTTGTCCCATAGAGTCCTCCATCTTCATGATGTTTTGCTCTATGTTTATTTTTGTTTTGTTGTACTGGTTTGTTTGGAATGGCCATCATTCCAATCACCCCATTGTTTAGTGTTGTTGTTGTATGTTCTTTTATGTGTGTGTTTCTTGTTTAGTGTTATTGTTGTGTTTATGTGTGTGTTCTTTTTGTTCCTGTGTTGTTGTGTAGTCCGTTTGTGTTTAACCTCAGTCGTAGGCCGTTGTGGAGCGGACGAGGCTATCCCACTTCTCCCTAATTTTACAGCTGATGGCAAACGCGTTGTGGTTTGTTTCTTGTATGTCTGCGTGCGTGCAGTTGCAACACTGCGGAGGGATTCCTGCTTTGCTGTCTGGGCACTCTGCCCGCAGGTGTAGTCCTCCGCAGTGGCTGCATCTGTCCGCACTCTCCTGGCAAAATTTCTTGCCATGTCCAAATTGAAGGCACCTTGTACATTGTATGAGGGGGGTCTGGTCTTCTATCTCTATGTAAAGGTGCCCTTTCTTTGTCATTCTCTTCCAGAACTCAGGTCGGACTTGTGCTATGATGTGACATTTTTCTGTGTTCCTGGTCCTGCGTCTATATTTTATCTTAAAATCGTCTTCCTCCAGTTCGTCCGTGTATATATCTGGGTTTTGATTTTTTATTGCAGTTTTTATTTCATCGTCAGTCATCTTGTATTTTATCTCCTTTATTATGATAAGTGGGTTCTTATTTCTTACCCTTTCAGCTTCCAATTCGTCACTCTCTTCTATCCTTTCCTTTATCCTTTGAGTTTCTTGTTCCTCCTACAACTAATTATTATTCTTTGGTCCTTGACCTTTCTTATTCTCTCTATTTGTATTTTGTTCTTTTATGGCTCTAGTATTTTCTTTGCCTTACCGATCACCTCCTCCGCGGTATCCATTTCATTTCTTGATGTTATGAGAATTGAATGCAGGGTTTTTGGCATTCGTTGGATCTTGCCTCTTGTTACCTCCGCGTATGAGTTAAAGCTTTTATACCCATTTGCATTGTGGTTTCCCGTTCCATTGATTTTTCTATTTCCTTTGATATTTTTTCTGTGTTTTCCTTTATGTCTGTTGATATTTTCTTCCTTGTGTCTGTTATTTCTTCTTTAATGTTTGTTTCCATATTTCCCAATTTGTTGATGATGATTGCTGTGTTGTTTTCGGGTGCGGTTCCTCCATACGCAATGGTGTTTTGTTTGTCCTGCATACATTCTGTTAGTACCGTGTCGATGGTCTTCGTGATTTCCAAAGTCATCTCTCTTCCTGTTTCCCTTATCTGATTACCCAGATCAGAGTTCATTTCGCTTCCCATGCTCTTCTCTTCCGTATCCGTTTTTCTTCCCAGCCTTTCCACTATCTTTCGTTCCAGCTCAATTGTTTCCGCTGTTAGATTCTCTTCCATTGTGTCCAGCTTCCTGGTAATGATCGCTGTTGACATTTCGTTATCTTTCAGGGTTCTGTCTGAGAATCTGTCGTATAGGGCCTCCTCTCTACTCTTTATGTTTTCTAATTTATAATCGATCATTCTCAAGAATTTTGTTGTTACTGATTCCTCATCTTCCCTGTTTCTTCTCTTTTCTTCTCTATGTTTTATTAGTTCTTGTTGTTGCTGTTCCATTTTTCTTGTTATACTGTTTATTTCTTCTTTCATTATTGTCTGCATTTCCTCCGTCTGTTTTCCCAATCTCACTCTCCCTTTCAATTCTTCCATAATGTGCACGTCCTTTGTGATCTCTTTACTCAGCTCGACTAGAAGGGTGAGGCCGGTTTGTGCCGTCTTTTCAAGATTTTCCTTTACCTCCCTCTTCATGGCACTATATATCTGCTTTGGAATATCCCCTATTAAATCCACAAGCTGACATATGTACTCGCCTGTTGTAGTCTCGCTTCTCTCCATTATTTTCCTTTTAAATTCGTCCATCTTGATTTCTTTATGTGGTGGTGAGGAGGTGTTTGAGTTTCTTGAGTTTCCTGTAACTATCGATTTTTGTGCCTTGCTCATTTTATTCTAATTTTGTATCCGGAGTGGTGGGGACAACTTTTTATATATGTGTATTGTCTGCTTTATGTTATATGTATGATTGTGTGTACGTGTCTAATTTGTTTTTTGTTTCAGGTGCCGTGTTCCTTTTGGCAGATCAACTGCAGTCTTCTTTTCGGCGTGTTGGTAAGTAATGTTTTGTTTGTGTGTCTGTGTGTTTGTGAGTTCGTGTGTGTTTGTGTATTTGTATATAGTCCAAAAGAGTCTAGCTCTTTATGTCCAAAAGTATTTAGTCTTAACCTACGACGTGTTCCAATAGGATATCACAGTCAATTTTGCTTAAATAAAATTAAAGTTATTAAAATAATGTAATAAACTATAACTAATGATGCCCCAGCTAATGTTGGGGTGTATCTATTTTGTATGCTTTATACTTGTACTTTTATCGGTATAACTTCGTCTGTTTATGTTGTTTTATTTCTTTGCTAGAAAACGTAAGTTTTATTTTAAATTGAAATATCTCGGGTAAATTAAGGTCTTTTAGTTTGAAACTTTTATAAGTGTTTACCTTTGTTATTTTTAATGTCCTAAGATTTTTTCCCGATTTTTTCGGTGAAAAACGACGAAGTTACAAAGTTTCCGGTGTTACCGGTTTTTCCTCCGGAAACTCCGGGTCTATAAGGTCACGACCCGTGCCGTTCTGTCGTCCCTTTTAAGTGCTATCATCCGATACCACTCTTGCCTTTGTACGATGGGTAGTTTCGGAGATATTCCTTGGCCAAAATCGCCAAAAAACTCGGCCCGAAAGGGACGAGTGCCGATATCTCCGAAACTATCAGTCGTGTGGAACGGGGATTTTTTAGGGATGGATAGGGGAGGTCCTGCCGCACCTATTTCCGGGGTCAGTTGGTATTGTCTCACGACCTTGGGATAGGGTTGATTTGCCCTATAGGTCTGATAGTGCTTGGCAGGGGGTGGTAGATGCGGAAAACCCCGTTCCTCTACGACGAACGGTACGGCAGCTACAGCCCCTCAAAGTTTTGGGATAAGCTTATCCCACCGACTTTGGAGGGCTATATCTCCGGCCCTATTCGCCCCACGAAGTCGGGGCTTGGAGTGGAGGTGGTAGGAGGGTGGGATCTTGCCGAAGCAATCTCAAAATTGAAGGGTCGAGTTCGACTTGTCCAATTTGAATTCCACCCTATGGAATATGTAGAGGGGAATGGGGGAGTCACCGTCACCGAAACCGTTGGATGGCTGTTGATATATTGGGAGGAGCTTGTGTTCTCTCAACTGACATTTAGATATGATTTTGTGACAACAATCGTAGCATAAAAGTGAACTGCACTCGTAGCAGCGCGTTGTTGCTAAACTGTTGTCGCAGCGAAAACAGACAATAGGCACTGTGGTGAATGTGCCGGAGGAATTGCTACCGCTAGTGTTTCTAGCCCTAGCATACTCGGAGCCAATGGCACCGAAGGGGTTTGGCATACCTCTGTTCCAGGGGTGTCCCTCAGTATCATACGGCACGGATTGTAACGACTGCACGGTATCGGTCAGAGGCAGATTCCTCATTTTATCGTTGAGAAGATTACAAGTGTAATCTCTCATGATGGGCGACTCATCTGTTTTCTTTAAGTTGTTGCTTGACCCCAGGAATCGTGTGATATCACTGAACGATGCCATCTCGTTGTGTACAAGTTACGTGATTAGATCTGTAAAAATATATATATATATCTATATAAATATATATACTAATATGAATGTAAGTCCTACGTTTTAACGACAGAGACAACACAGGACACGTCGTAATCGTTTGACATGTTATATATGTAGTAAATGTAGAAAATGTTTATGTACAAATTGATTTATCAAATATAAAATAATAAATATTAGATCGGCATTGTGCCTCCTGTGAATAATGATACGTGTTGAATTTAAACATATATTGGTCTTCAAAGGCTAAGTTTTGAGCCATGTTTTGTTTAAAAAAGTTGAATTTTTAGAACATATCATTTACAATGATTTAGGTTTTTGGGGACTACGAACCCTTTCAGTTATGGGAACTTTTACTATATCTTAGTATAATGAACGACTATATATAACTCTAAAATCGTTTTGATTTCGAAGTCACTTTCATATTATTATATAAGATAACTGTTGCTGTTCACAAAAATGAATTTTTTGTTATTTAAGTTAATCGTTACATATGATTTATCGAAGAAATAATTGGTAGAATAAGAAAAAAATTAAAAATAAATTGAATCTAAAGTATTTGCTGGTTGCATGCCTTACTTTAGACTGCGAATTGATCGTCGGTCAACTTATATTTTTCTATATTGTTATAGATATGTAACTATCTTAATTTTATTTTTCAGAATTAATAAATCTAAATGATTCACTATTTAAACTCTATCGATCCATCAAGGTTGTGTATTATCGAAAGTCAAACATCTTGTATGATTCAAACACTTATCACCGTTACCGTAATGGTTAGACAAGCTGAGACTGATTTGATAATTTTGAATGGATATATTACATGTATATATTTAAATGATAAAAAAAAATGCTAAATATATATTATCTTTATGTATATCTATTATTTCTTTCATTCTGGCATTACCATTTTCATTTTATGTTAATCGCCTATGAAGACTGATCGATATTTAATATGTTAACTTTTCACTGGATTTAAAAGTGTTGTTAGATAATGATTTCGATATTGCTCAAAAACTGTTTGATATTATTAATTTAATGAAGTATAATGAGATATACAAAAAGGTTTCATAAAAAATGTAATTATATCATTTTAATCTTTTACTTGTATAACGGTGTCAGTTGAACAATGACTTATATTAAAAAGTGTAATACACAGAAACCGAATCTGATACAACTCGAGTTGTATCACTGTTCACGGATACAGTCAATAGAATATTTATAAATAAAACCGAAAATAACACAAATATCAAAACAAATACATACCCAAACAACTTCAATGACAGGAATCCAACACGCACAGAATTCGTATTTTTTTTATAATAAGAAACATTTCGAAAAGTGAATATTTGATGCACAGTTACAACGTGTACCTCGGACGGTGGTTGCACTTGAACTGACTAAACCACACATTGACCCTTGAGATAAATAAGCAGTTTGCGAAAAAGTCCATTTTTAAATATTTTATGCTCTCTTTCCTTCTCGTGGCGGTGAGTGAGATAGATATACTCAATATAACCTTTTATGTAGGGCTTTGTTATGATTAAGCTTAACACGTGTTGTTTTTGAGCAAATTGAAGGGCATGCAATAGTTATTATAATAAATTGCTAAAGTTAATACCAAAAGTTTAAGTTTAATAATAAAATAAAATTTAAAAAAAACTAAATTTTACTCTATCCGGTACAACAGAAAATATAATTTTTTGCCTGTTTATAACACTTGGTATACTAAATATTTCAATACCTGCAACAAAATCCTTGAATTGCAGAATATAATTTTATATTTAAACTGAAAACAGTGAAAATATACAATACGCTATTATTATAATCTAAATTATGATTAGATGTCTCAGTACAACGTTTCGATATTTTTAGGTTTCCGGTTGGAGTGTACTTACGCGTGGGGAACTGAGCGAAAGGGGTATCTGATCATAATTTAAATCTAATCTGCCGAAACTTTGTTCGTTGTGTTCTATATTCCATACGATATAATCAAAAAGTGAATGTTTTTTTTGTAAGTGCCCCCTTACGTACACTCAGTTATAATCGTATTAGTTCTCAAGTAAAAAGTAATGAACGTTTATAATCGTTAGTAATCTCTCAAGATTACATGGTTTTGTTGATTTTTATACAAAATTTTCACTAGTCCTACTTCAATTTGATTTTCATTTATGAATAAGTGAAATAAATAATAATGCCCTAACACATTCCAAATGCGGGATTTTCTAACTTTATTGTCTATTTAAACATTAAACATTAACAAAAGGGTATTAATACAACTACAGACCGTCTTTGGATAAAAACAAAGAGTAAGACAGTACTAAAGTTTTTAAGTTAAAATTCTAAAGCCTATTATCTTTTGTTTCATTCAAAATATTATCACTATGAGTAAAATTCATTGTGTTTTTTCATAATAGTGTAATTTAGGGTTATGTGCTTTACCTGTGGACATTTGCCGTAATTAGAAACAAACATATTTTTTTAGAAAAATCTGTTTATTTTTAGTATACGTTATCATAATTTTCGGCTTAGTTACTAATTAATTCTTAATAATTAACAGTTTTAGTTAGGAAAAATGTATTCGTTTCTGAGAAATTAACATGTTTAAAAAAATCCCATTTTGTCCACAGGTACAAACATGTATTGTACCTATAGACAACACTAAATGTTCCTATGGACGGTAGTGTACCTATGGACAAACTATATAAATTACAATTATATACTATAAACTTCAATACGAGTATAAAATCCAATATTAAGAGACGTAACAATATAAGGAATTCGGTTTTTCAATATCACAATACTGACTGAGTGTTAAATCCTTAGAAAAAATAATAAAAAATAAAGACTAGTCACGAGACATAATAAAATTAGTGATTTTGTTTTTTAACATTAAGATACTCAGCGTATAACTCTTTGGCCCAATCACTGCTACCATCAGAATCTATGTCGTCGTTAGATGATTCATCGTCTATTTTATAGCATCTCATACAAACAAAATCGCACTCATCTTTGGAGGCATAATTGTCCTAATGAGATTTTGGTACACATTTGGTATGATATGGCCCCTCGCACATAGAACAGGTGAGCACTTTTTTCTTATCTTCGAATTTCCTACATCCCACACACATGTACTCTTCTTGAAGTATGATAATATTTTTACCGGTCGCTAAACTTCTTGAGCTAGGTCCAGCTCTAGCCTTTCTTTTTTTTTTTTTTAAATTGCTCGGCCTTACAGTCTATGGCCGAGCTTCCTAGTTGTCCCCACTTTGTAGCAGGCCCTTAGTATTCGCTATATTTCTCAT